CACGCACACACACACGCACGCACACACTCTCAATCGGTTGAGCAACACATTCCTAAGAAATGATTGTGGTGTGGGCACAAACGTGTCAAACCATTATTAACAAATGTATAAATTTTACAGACCAATAATAATGTTTTTCTGTTTACTGTCTACTTTGTTGGCTTCTCCCGCGATGTCTTTATTTGTTCTGTCTTTCCTTCTCTTCCTCCTCTCCCGGCTCCCCCTCCTCCCCCCCAGGCGCGAGGAGCTAGACGACGGCGGCGCCGACGAGGTCCGTCCCGGTGGCGGTGGCGGTGGCGGCGAGGACGATCCTGGTGCTGGAGGTGAGGGCGAGGAGGCGGAAGGCGGCCACCTCGGCGAAGGTGATGCCGCCCAGCAGGACGACGAGGGCCACGCGGGGGGGCGGGGGCCCTCCGGGGGCGGCCGTCCTCACCACCGTGGTCCCCGGCAGCACCTTGAGGGCGTCCTGCAGCTGCGACGGCGACAGGCGCCCCGACAGCACGTCGCCTACCACCTTGGGCACCGCGGGCGTGTAGGCGCCGTTGAACACGTAGCTCATGTCGGTCGGGTTGTGGAGGTCGATGCTGCGCTCGGCGTCGGGGATCAGGCGGAGGCGCTTGGCGGCGGCGCGCCAGCCGGAGCCGCGGCGGGGCAGCAGCGACGCCACCTGCGCCAACCGGTCCTGCAGGGGCGCCACGCCGCTTGAGCCGGAGCCGCCCGAGCCCCCGCTGCCGTTGGCGCCGCCCGTGCCGCCGCCGCCGCCGCCGCCAGACGTGAAGGAGTCGTTGACGGCGAGGAGGCCGATCTGGCGCAGGTGCTGCAGCGTGACCAGGTGCCGGTGGCCGTGCGCCGCCAGGAGCCGCTGGCTGAGCATGTTGTAGCGGTCCCTGGAGAGGCCGTCCTGCGTGAGCGACAGCAGGCACAGCAGGCGCAGGTTGGCGTGCAGGGGCAGCATGCGGGCCAGGCAGTCCTTGAGGAAGGTCTGCGCCTCCGTCGCCGTGCCCGCGCCCGTCACCAGCCCGTGCTCCATGCTCAGCTGCGAGTCGAAGTCCTTGCGCGTGCGCGTCGTGATGGCCTCGCACGCCGACAGGTGCAGAGACAGCGATCGCTGCAGCTGCTGCAGCGTCTGGATCTCGTTGGCCACGAAGTCCTTCATCTGCGCCGTCGTCATCGTCTGCGCCTGCTCGCGCTTCGCCTTCACCTGCGGAGGACACGGGCGTCAGGCAACGGGGGAGGGAAACAAGGGCAGCCTTCGCCCTGACGTCCAGGCCGGTTGGCGCCAAAAATTCTTCAGCCTTTCTCGCTCACCCGCTAATCCTCCCTCCCTGAGCCCTACCTATAAACAACATCCGGAAGGTGGTGCTCCACACATCTGTCCCTGGCTGAACAAAGGCTGCGCCTTCCCGTCGCCGCCTCCTGAGTCCACCTTATCACAGGAAGCAGCCACTTCGCACCTTCCACTCCTGACCCTGGTTTACCCAAGGACCTCCTAGGTGACCTACATGTCCCCCTCGAGCAAGCCCAGCGACTCACCCCCCTGTCACGGCCTGATAACCTGACACTCCAGCCGCGGATGCAAACTCCCCCCAGGACGTAGCCGCGGAATAAAAGGGGGACATTCGCCATACCTCGGAGAAGGAGCTCAGCTTGCATCCTCTCACCTTGTAGCGAATGAAGCCAAAAGCCAAGGCCACTCTCATTATCCGCCTTAAGTCCATCTCGTGTCGCTCACACTACCCACCCTCGTCGCACGCGCCTTCGTGAGGAGCCATCCCCTCCTCCTCCCCTCCCCCCTACCCACCCCTTCCCTCATGCACCACTGCACTGAACCAAGCCCCACCCTAGCCCTCCCTCCCTCTCCCCTTCCCCTTCCTCTCATCTCATCCTCTCCTATGCCCCCTGACTCTCCCTCGCCTCCTGACGTCTCATACCCACATTCTCACACCTCCTGCCTCAAGCCCTATTGCAGGGGCGTCCCTCCCCCCAACCTTCCCTTACCTGCGCCTCCCTCTGCCCCTGCCCCGCCCCGCCCCGCCCACCCCAACCCCCCTCGCCTCGTACCTCATGCGCCCTCGTAATGAGGTAGCCGGAGACGCCGGCGAAGTGCCTGTTCCTGATGTTGTCGTAGATGGTGTCCCTGGCGTTGAGGGGCAGCTTGGTGGGGGCGTCGGGGCCGGCCACCTCCTTCGGCAGCTCCACCACGCCCGCGCGGATGCCGAAGTGCTCGTCCAGGGCGCCCTCATACGTCAGCTGGCTCAGCAGGGGCGTCACCAGGTCGGCGTCGCGGTCGAACACGAACAGGTGCCCGATCTCCGGAAGCTGCGGGAGGGGGGGGGGGGGGCGAGGGGCGATACGGAGAAAGAAGAGGGGGAGGAGAGGGAAGAGGAAGAAAAGAAGGAAGAGGAGGAGGAAAAGGAGGAGGAGGAGGAGGAGGAGGAGAAAAGAACAGGAAGAACAGGAAGAGGAAGAGGAGAAAGAACAAGAAGAATAGGAGGAGGAGGAGGAGGAGAAAGAACGAGAAGATGAGAAAGGGGGGAGAGGAGGAGGAGGTGGAGGGGACCAAAGAACAGCAAGAGGAGGAGAAGGAGGAGGAAAAACAGGAAGAAGAGGAAGAGGAAGAGGAGGAGGAGGGGGAGAAAAAAAAACAGGAAGTGGAAGAGGAGGAGGAGGAATATGAGAAAAAAACAGGAAGAAGAGGAAGAGGATGAGGAGGAGAAAGAACAGGAAGAAGAGAAAGAGGAGAAGGAGAAAGAGGAGGAGGAGGAGGAAGAAGAACAGAAGAAGGGGGAGGAAGAAAAAGAGGATGAGGAGGAAAGGGGAGGAGACAACAATAAATTAATATTCGTTACTATATGCATCAACATCATTAATGCCAACATTAACTACCCCCCAAAAAACATACAAAAAGCAAAAAACAAAAACGAAAGTACAACATAAACAAAAAACAAAACAAAAAACAAACAAACAAAACACCAACAAAAAACTACAAAAATACAAAATATTACCAAAAAAATACAGCAAAAAACTATAGAAAATACAGAAACACAAAATTACAAAAACAAAAAAAATTACAACAACGAAAACGAAAAAAACAAACAAACAACAAAAAGCAGCAGCATCCCCGCGCCAGGCCCGCCTCACCTGCAGGCCCTTCTTGGGCGACTCCTGCGCCGTGAGGGCGTCGAGGGCGCCCACGACCGCTCGTGCCGCCCGCCCGTGCGCCACCGCGTTGGGGAAGGCGCCGAACAGCCCCTGCAGCGTGTTCAGCGCCCGCGCCACGCCCACGCACCCGGAGTAGTCGCCGCCCAGGAACGCGTCTCTGTGGGGGGAGGGGCTCGTTTCATTCGGTTTCGTACTATTTGAATCTATATTTATTCATTTAGTAATGGCATAAGATTTCTCTCTCTTTTTTTATTCTCTCTCTCTCGCTCTCTCTCTCCCTCTCTCTCTCTCCCTCTTTCTCTCTCTTTCCCTCTTTCTCTCTCTCTCTGTCTCCCTCTCTTTCTCTCTCTCTCTCTCTCTTTCTCTTTCTCTTTCTCTTTCTCTCTCATTCTCATTCTCTCTCTCTCTCTCTCCCTCTTTCTCTTTCTCTCTCATTCTCTCTCTCTCTCTCACTCTCTCTCTCTCTCTCTCTCTCTCTCTCTCTCTCTCTCTCTCTCTCTCTCTCTCTCTCTCTCTCTCTCTTACACACACACACACACACACACACACACACACACACACACACACACACACACACACTCACGCACTCGCACATTCAACAGCTTTCTTAAGACACTAAAAGAGGCAGAACTACTTCATAAACTTAATCTACCTATATCCAGATACCCTCGCGGTAAACTGCACCAACCAAAGCCTTTATTTATCTCCTTTTATCCCGTCGCTTGCAACATTTACCCTACTCTGCAATGCTAATCACGGCAGATATCTGAACCGCGTGTCACTTAGCTCACTAACTGCAGCTTTTTAAAAACTTATGTTATACCATAACATACATCACGTGTTTTTCTGTAGTTTCTAACTTGTCCCGTAGTGCAGGTGATAGCTTGTCTTTGTTATTACTATTATCTTTATTATATACTTGAAGAAAAAGTCCATCGCCACATGATAATATATTCTATGGGAGAACAGGTTAACTCGGAGAGGGAGAGAGAGAGAGAGAGAGAGAGAGAGAGAGAGAGAGAGAGAGAGAGAGAGAGAGAGAGAGAGAGAGAGAGAGAGAGAGAGAGAGAGAGGGGGGGGGGGGGGGGTCTGCACCTTATAAAAGTAAGTACGCAGATAAACACACACACCAACAAGCAAACACTATCCAAAACAGATTCCAGCAATACACCTGTTCCCAGTTCCCGTCGAGAGATAACCCTCCCGAAATCACGTGCTCAACACGTGGGCAACACCCTATCTAGGCAAACAGGTTATGTATAGATCGAGATAAAATCAAATGAAATAAATGGTGATAAAAGATGAATAGAGAACAAAGTGTCAGACAAAAACTGGAGATGAAGAAAATTTAAGAACAACAGAAATGGAAAGAAAAGTGAAAGAATTACAGTCGTTTTTTTTTTTTTTTTGGCAAGTTAACAACCCTGAGAGGGGAGGGGAGGGGAGGGGAGGGGGTAGAGTACTGGGTGTTGTGTAAGATATGGGCTGGGTGGGAGAGAGTGTGTGTGTGGGAGGAGGGGGGGGGGGAGGGACGGGAAGCTCGCAGTTGCAGAACCCTTTGAGTTGCATGAAGAGCAACAGTGCAACGAGGAATGTGGGCGGTTTACGACGAGAGAATTACACAACGTTTATGATAACTGATTTCTCAATTTCACGGCTTGTGTAAATATATACATTTATATTTTAGAGGGTGGAGGTGCTTGGCTTTGTTTGGATTCTGCATATATTCCATGTCTAGACTGGACGTTAATGCCGTTATTACTGATGTCACGGTTATTACTGTAATGCACATACACACGCACGCATAAGAGAGAGGTGAGTAGATAGATAGATAGACAGACAGATAGACTGAGAGCTACACTAATAGATGAAGATAGACTCACAGACACACACATACACATACACATACACACACACACACACACACGCACACACACACACAAATACATCAAATTAAACTGTGTGTGTGTGTGTGTGTGTGTGTGTGTGTGTGTGTGTGTGTGTGTGTGTGTGTGTGTGTATGTGTGTGTGTGTGCGCGTGTGTGTGTGCGTGTGCGTGTGCAAATATATATACATACATACATACATACATACATACATACATACATACACACACACACACACACACACACACACACACACACACACACACACAGATATATATATATATATATATATATATATATATATATATATATATATATATATATATATATATATATAATGTATATGTATGTATGGATGTAAGGGAGCGCCATCCATACTCTCGTCACAAGTGTCGAAGGCCTTGGCAGGTGTTATCGGCCTTGGCAACAGAGCAGACTTGCAGGCCGGGCAGGGGTTAGCTGGTACTTGACATGACAACCGTTTTCGTAAGTGTTACTTGCCATTTCTGGTTATCGCCGTGAGTACATGATGTGTGGTAGAAAAAAGAAAGAAAAGAAAAAACATTTTTTTTTTCCTATTTCGGTCTTTTTGTCTTGTAATCCACTTTTTTGCCCGACTTTGAGATTTTGACTTTGTGATTTTAGTTTCTTTCTGTCTTTCCGTCTGTCTGTCTTTCTCTGACTCGCCTCATCCACTTCCCATTTCTCGCCCTTCTCCCTTCCCCTTTTCCCCACCTTCCATTATCCCCCCCCCCTAAGAAAATCTCCCCTCGTCTACCCAAAGTCCCCTCCCTTTCTGCCCCTACCCTCTGCCACCCCTCACTCGCCCCTCAACCTCCCCCCCCCCCCTCAATACATCCTCCTTGACCCAGCCTCACCTGAAGAACGAAGTCATTTCGAGCGAGAGGAGGTCATCGTCCAGAGGCACGAACTCCGGCGTGAACTCGTGAAGGTTGAGTGTCCCGTAGAGGCCCTCCTCCTCCAGCAGCCCCGTCACCCAGGGCGTCATGCGGGGCACCACCACGACGTGAACTCTGCAAGGGAGGGAATGGGGGAGTGGGAGAGAATTCGGGAAGGGGGGGGGGAGAGTGGGAGAGAATTCGGGAAGGGGGGGGGAGTGGGAGAGAATTCGGGAAGGGGGGGGAGTGGGAGAGAAGTCGGTAAGGGAGTGGGGAGTGGGACAGGGATTAGGGGGAAGAGTGGGAGAGAAGTCGGGAAGGGGGGGGGAGTGGGAATTGGATTAGGGGGAAGAGTGGGAGAGAAGTCGGGAAGGGGGGGAAGTGAGAAAGGGATTAGGGGGAAGAGTGGGTAGGGAAATGTGGAAAAGATCATTCGAGAGGAAGAGAAGGGAAGGGGGAGGGGGGGAAAGAGGGGGAGGTAGCCAAGGTAAGGATGGGAAATAGGGAAGACGTGGAGGAAGGTGGGTAGATGGGGTGGGCAGGTGGGGAAAGAAGAATTGGGTAGTGAGCGAGACCAAGGGACGAGGAGGGGCGGTGGAGAGGTGAAAGATATGAAGGGAGTTAAATTTAGTCTTTGAGTGCTTCTTTGGATAACTGCATATGCACTCTGTTACTGAGCCAGAGCCATGACTTTTTAAAAAGGATTTTCTGGTGGACTGGGAGGCAAAACAAATATGAAAAAAATTAATGCAAGTAGAACATCTCTTGATAAAAATATCGGTGGGGGGCCAAATTTGCCGAAATATAGGGGGGGGGGCAAGCTCCTCTTTCCAGTTAGTAAACACAGATAAACATATGATTACAAATGATTACACAAATACATAAATTACTTAATGTGCAATACATACCTTATACAAAAGCACACTCATACATAAGAAAATATTCATACATCTTTATAACTGCTAATATCCAAACGAAACTACAACACAGCCTTACTAGTGCTAACTTCCTAATTATCCTACAAAACAGACTTTTTATAATACCGCCACATAACCAATCAACTAAACTGCTAGGCCACAAAGTTAATAAAATTAATCGATCATGCACCCAAACACAATATAAAGTATCCACAAACCCACTCACCTTCACACTCCCAAAATCGATCAATCAAAAACAGCCAACCAACCAATCACATAAATCCCCACAAGACTGTTAACCAATTTCAATGTTTCACTCCAACCTAACTGCCCAACCACAAGCTTCTCCATACAATTACCCAACCAGTGACACCTTCTCCTTCCTTTCCCATCAACCAACTGTTACTTCCCTTACAACACTAACTTTCCCAAAACCTCAGACACAGTCTAGCACACAATCCTTCCATTACAGCCCTCCTCCTCCTCCTTCCTAATGCCACTCTATTATTAATTATAAATTAATTACAATTATTATCATTCCTGCTGACCCCTTAACCCATATAATTCCCCTAACATCCCCTCTTCCCTCTTCCTTCTCCCTCCCGCACCCTTTCCACGAACCCCTTCCCCGTACAACCCACTCCACCAAGAAACTCACCTCAAATCAGGATGGGTCCTGGCATCTTCATGGACATGATCTGCAATATATTTGAGGGTGACAAGAGCAGGACGCACAATGTACACCCGCTGCCCACACTGCACTGGAGGGGGAACACGCTGCAGCTTGTGCATCTTTTCCACACCATGACTCCTGTAGGAGGGGGGCGGGAAGAGGAGTTTTGAGGGCAGGGGGTGTGAGTACAGTGGGGTAAAGGTGAGAAATGATGGGGAAGACAGGGCAGGAAGGAAGAAGAAGGGAGGGATCAAAAAGAGTGAGAGAGGTAGGAAGAAAAGGAGGATAAAGGAAAAATGATGGGGAGATAAGAAAAGCAGGAAGGGAGGGGATAGAGAAAAAAGGAAAGGAGGAGAGAAAAAAGAACAGGAAAAGGTCAGGTGATACAGAGAAAATGGAAGGGGGATGAGATGGAGCAAGGACAGTAGGTAGGGCAGACAGACAGATGATTTAGTAAACGTTGAATGATAATGACAAAGATGCTACTTTTATATATACTGAGTTTATTATCCACTTTCATTTAATGTTAATAAATTCAGTTAATTCTATTCATATTTCAATCATTTTCCTTTATATATGATTCTTGTACTACTGTTTTTCATATCTTTCATTTAAATCTCTTTCAATCTCAACTGATCTACAGTATAATTTATAAGAACTTATAACTGTAATAGCATTGTTTTACTTCCAAAAAAGATCTTAATATTCTTTTAATTTCACTAATGTTAGATAAATAAAAGGTTCCCATTGAAAGAATTTCCCTCATAAACTCCACAGAACAATAATAATAAAAAGGAAAAAAAATGTATATTATCACAATATCATTAGCATCAACTGCTGCCTAATGCACCCTCAAGCCTCTAGAGTAAGGGCAACAAACAACCACAATGAAGACCTCCCTACCCCCCAGTGCCCATCTCTACCCATACCCCTACCCCTACAAGCCTGATTCCACCACACCCACAACTCACCTGAGCAAGGTGGCCCCTGCTATGCGGTCTAGCATCTTGAGGAGGTCACCGTCAATCACGAGGTCCTTGGATCCTGGTGCGTCCTCCAACACCCGCACAAGCCGATCCCGGTTGAGGCGGCGCAGGATCTCCAGGTCTAGGCCAAGGCTTCCTGTGCGGGACATTTCTGCCCACTTTTCTCCCTGGTCTTGAGTTAACTTTTGAGGAAGCTTTTATGAGGGGAATGCAAAAGTATGAGAGTCTGTTTGTGATTGTCATTACATGTCACACTCCCCTGTGGGTCTTATGAGGACTTCCCTATCAAATAGAACTTTGTTTTTTATGTCTTCACACATAACTGGAAAGAAAGAAAGAAAGAAAAAAAATATATATCCATAAAAATTGGAAAGTACTGGCAATACTTTTCAACCCTGTGGCAATACCAAATAATTTCTTTGTGTTTAAGTAAAAGCCTTCAAACTTCTAGGACTCATATTCTGCTAAGTTAAAACTGATTATTTACTTGACAATTGATTTTAAAGTTTACAGTATAATATAAATAGTGGAGGTTTGTTGGCAACTGAAAGCTATGGAGTTCAAACTGATCAGTACAAGGCCTGTGATGAATGCTTGATGTTCAATACAAATCAAATATCTAAAATATGATGTATAACAAATAGCATCAGTATTACATTCATATATATCTTTCCACATAGAAAAATATAATGTATTCCAAACAATGGTATAATAACAATAAAAGAGTAAACTTTTTGCACCAAATCACATACCTACTAACCTCATAGTATCTGGCAAGGTTATTATAACATTGTTGTCAAGGCCTCTTCAAAAATTAGATTCTGAAAATAAAAATGCCATAGATTATTACATATATTTTGATGAATTTATACTGTCATCCAGCCATAAATTTGTTAAACATTTCTTATTAATATAAATTCCTTGTTTTTTCTATATCAAATACCTGTTATTTCTAATCTGTGAATGAAGTGACATAAAAGACAAGTAAATAAAAGTGTTTGCTCTGTCTTTTCCATATAATGTTAACCTTTGATGTGATGAAAGTGTACCTATACCAATACTTTCAATATGCCCTGCTTCCTCAAGAAATCAGACTCTAACTGAAAATAAAATGACCATTTATGCAAATATGCCAAATACAAAGAAACAGTTTAATAAAACAATCACAGATTGCCAATTGCAGTTGATATTAATCTCAAAGTTCACATTTAAATATATTAATAAATGAAGCAGTATGTGTTCAAAAGGATAAATTAAGTCCACAACATAACTTCTGAACATTGCAAATATTTGGGCCTAAATTTATAAAAATGAGAATATCTCAAAAAAAAAATTGGCATTTCAAGAAATTTATAAATGATCATTAAGATTTTCTGGATATAATTTAAACAAAGAATAATAATTGCAATGTTAGATGGCGGTGTGAAAATGAAAAATTACCGACTTTAAGGAGATGTCATACTTATTACTCAAATAATATGTAACCAATTTCTTAATTCATTTAATGACTGAAATGACCACACCTCTTTCAGCACCTAATCTAGTTTTATAACCTTTAAATCTGGCGTCCTTATCGCTATAAACCTCAATTTTTTAACAGTTCAAAATTTATTCAAACTTTACCATTTCTATCAAGTACAAAACAGACAAAAAGTTCAACAGAAAAGTCAAATGTTGCGAGAAAAGAAGAGAAAAGCTGTTGTTTTTGTTGACATTGAACAGCTGATTTTGCGATTCTGATATATTTTTTTCATATTAACTCTTTCCAAGGTATGGTATTTCATTTCTGTCTTTTGATCTTTTTTCTTATTTTGTTCTGATTGAAATAATTTTTGGAATTTTAGAGTTTCGAAATAAACAATTTCGTTTATTGAATCGCAATTACCGTGCTTTTAAGATTTTTAAGGAGCTCTTCTTTACCTTATCCCTTAATTATCCTAACATTCTCCCTATCATCATCAATTTTACAACTCTATTCCAATAATTATATGTCCCTGCCTTCATTCGAATTTGTTATCCAGCGTTTTTTAATTGCATAATGATAAAACTAAAAGCACGACGGTTCCCAAGGATACACTTGCTTTCAGAGAGACGGTGACAATCACTTCCTGCGTCGTTGTTATGTAAGCGCTTCACCAATTTATTTTACTGCCCTACATTTAAGACTACGTAGTCGCGATCTGCCTGGAGAATCATGAAGACTGTCGTGTAAATTTTGCTTTGAAATAAAATCCATTAATAAGGAAATCAGCCGAGGGGGGATTCGAATGCGACGGTGCCAAATGTACAAACAAAATTTCACACTTCTCCTACGTAAACACAAAACACAATAATACACATATATATTTAGTACTTATAGGAGTTTCTATTACTATATCAGAAGGTCAAGTAGTTTAAAAGGCGACTGAATCCAACGCCAAGAATGTAAATAAAGGTGAGGTTGGCACCGCCGGAGAAGCTTGTTGTGAAGGGACATGGTTCTTGTTTAAGGAAGTTTTTTTCTCTCCTCACGGCCTCTTCTCTCTCCTCCTGCGCGTCTCCTTCCAAGTAAGAGGGCCCTCAAGCCACCGAGAAAGGGTAGGGTACGCGAGGAGGACCGTAACCTCGCGGGGGAAATGATTAGAGCGAATGAAACTTCTTCTCCTTCCGAGTTACACAAGTTCGTCTGCGAGGATTATGTGGCTGTGGTGTCCCCTCTTGTGTAATATTTTATTATTTTATTCAAGTAATCAAAGTAATCAAAGACGGCTCATTGGAAAACGTAGTTCAGTAACATTCCAATGTGCGAGAACGGACTATGTAAATTATGTAGGTCATTTTATCTAATAGGGGACGTGAGTGAGTTACCAAATACCCTTTACACAACCGCAGGGGCACAGTAAGTGTTGAATGGGCACTGCCAAGGCACTTCTCCTGTTGCTTGGCACTGGCACTGTTGAAGGCTTGTGATGTGCTCTGTGGTCTTTACTCTTTGATGGCTTACAAGTGGGACCTTCCATAAGCTTAAAGTAGTTTAGTAATGGTTTTAAGCCAGTGGATATATTCTAAGATGATTTTTTAAGGAAATTATATAATGAGTGATTATGTATAGAGAAGATAATGCAGATTGCTGAAGCTTTTCAAAGGATAGAAAGAGTGATTTCTGGCATGTAAGTACAGTTTATGATTTGATAGGTTTGTGAAACTGCTATTAGTTATATTTGCCTAATTGATTTAACTCTTCCTCTTCCCAGTTCCCCCTTTCCTTTGTCTCTTCTGTTTTTCCATTGCTTATCTGTTTCTCTACTCTGTCTCAGTTTGGCAGTCTGTTTCTCTGCTACTCTGCCTCTTTCTTTTCTCTTGTATCTCTTGCTTCTCCACTTCTCTTCCTCTTTCTGTACATTTCTCTTTCTCTCTCAGCCTCTCTGACTTTCATTGTTTCAGTGTCTCAAAGTCTCTGGCTATCAGGCTGTCTATTCTCTATCCCTGCTCATCTCAGTCTGCCTCTGTGTGTGTGTGTGTGTGTGTGTGTGTGTGTGTGTGTGTGTGTGTGTGTGTGTGTGTGTGTGTGTGTGTGTGTGTGTGTGTGTGTGTGTGTGTGTGTGTGTGTGTGTGTGTGTGTGTGTGTGTGTGTGTGTGTGTGTGTGTGTGTGTGTGTGTGTGTGTGTGTGTGTTTTTATGTGTGTGTGTGTGTGTGTCTGTCTCTGTCTATCTGTCTGTCCCTCCCTCCCTCCCTTTGTCCCTCTATTTCTCTTTTTCTCCCTTATTCTTTCTCCTTTATTGCTCTCTTTCTTCCTTATATATATATTTTTTATATCTTTCTCCCATATATTCCTCTTTCTCTCCTACTTCTCTTTTTCTCCCATACTTCTCGCTTTCTCCTTTATTTCTCTCTTTCTCCCCCTTTCTCCCTTTATCTCCCTTTATCTCCCTTAATCTCCCTTAATCTCCCTTTATCTCTATCTTTCTCTCAAAAATAGAAAGCATAGCCAGTTTGG